TATTTTAATGCATTATCTTAATTATGAACACACTGGTTTGTAGTGCAAACATTTTTACCGTTTACTGCACGCTGCTATTCTTCTCGTTATTTCCCTATAGCTAGCGGCTAGTATTTTCACCAGCTACAAAATGGTTTTAAGTCAGTTATTTCTATCTTTTGCTTTAGTGTGTCAGTAGGAAATATCAGTTTACGTTTCCAAACATTCATTTTGCCATTCATTGTAATAATCCAGTATGATTTTTGTTTGGATTATCAACTTAAAGTTTGATATCAAAAGCTGAATAATATATTTTGGCCTAAATTATTTTACCTATATTATTCAGTCACTTGATAATATGGCTAAAATCTAATACTTTTGCTGTAGCAAAATAACCAGGCTTATCAACTTTTTTTTTTTTTCTGTCAAATGCTGTGCATATTTTGGCACAAATCAGTCACTATACAGTAGATACTATGGCTAATATTAATAATTTATCATTACAAAATTATAATGTACCTAATTTGTAAGTCGCTTTGGATAAAAGCGTCTGCTAAATGACTAAATGTAAAATATGAATAAATTTGCAATATTTATTTGAATAAACAACAGGAAAAATAATGGCAAATGCAAAAGCAAATAATAAAAAGTAACTTATTAATAAACGTATTATTAAGTCACTTGATAATAAGGCTAATATTAATAAAATGTAGTACTTTTGCTGATGTTTATACACTTACAAAATGTATGTTAATAAACAGCATGAAAAAATAATGGCAAATATAAATAATAAAACGTATTAGCAAAATAACCAGACATTCCACCAATTTTTATTTTTTTATTTTTTTAAAGCTGTGCATATTTTGCCCAAATTAATAAAAATAAAAATAAATAACTAGCTAGCACATATTTTGGCAAATATTCTTCAGTGACTTGACACTACGGCTAATATTAATATAATAAAGTAGGTACTTCTACTGTTGTTTGTGCACTTGCAAAATTTGTTAATAAACATCAGGGAAAAACAACTGTGTAAATGCAAATAATTAAAAGTAACTTAAAATATTGTATATTGTTATGGTAGCAAAACAACCAGACACGTTTTATTGTGTCAAAGGCTGTGCATATTTTGCCACAAATTAATCAGTCACTTGATATACTATGACTAATATCAATAATAATAAAATATAGCCTAACACTTCTGCTGTTGTTTATGCACTTACAAAAGTTATGTTAATACACATCATTAAAAAATAAGTAACTAGTACTGTTCATAGCTAAGGTAGCAAAATAACTTGTGCATATATTGGCACAGACTCTTAAGTCACTTGGCTAATATTATTAAATATAATATAATAATAAGAATAATACGAATACTACTTCTGCTGTTGTTCATGCACTTATCAAAATAATTTTTTTGCATTAAAAAAAAAGTTTACTTCTGCATAATAAACTGTTAATAAAACTACTGAAGCAAAACCAGTTGGAAACTACTGCACCATAATATTTCAGATAAAAAAAATTTGAATTAAGTGCATGCTAAATTACATGCTGTCAGTACAATTTAACTGCCATACGTATGTTATGAGCTTTCAGCTGTCACCATAGTATGCATGAAAGCATGTCTCAAGTCACAAATCAAGAGTATTGTTTTCATTTTATTTAGGCTAACTCACTTTTGCACACAGCTCCTGTCCAAACCAGCACACACTTCTGTTTCAGGGCTCTCAAATCCCAGCACATGTACGTCCTCGCCTCTTTAAAAGATTAAAAACAAATCAAACATTGTACAAAGTGTAACAGCAACACAATTAAAACAAAACAGAAGCAGACAGAAACTTGCCTCTTCAATGCGGCATTAATAAAACACTTGAGGAGTCCGCGCCCGGTGCATTTGACAGTATCTAAAAACAACGACACATGAACACATTGTAGAAAGATACGGTGATGAGAGGATTGATGATGACTAGAAATGATGTTACCTTGAATGAGAATGAATCCTCCAGCCTCCGCTCCCTGTAGCACACATGACTCAACGCTCATCTCAACAGCTAACAGCTAACAGCTAAACAGCGCACTGCTAAAACGAGTTTAACGTGTTTGATAAGACACTGTCCGGATGACTACAACATCCTTGGGCTACTGATTAAACATGAGAACATATAACAGATCCAAAATGCCTGGTTATACATAAGAGTTATCGAATCAACACGAGTTTGATTTAGCGATGGCCGCTTTCGAAGCACTGCTTCGTGAAGCTTCGAAACGTTGGTGAATCATTTGTTTCGAAACAGTGATTCGGAGCGCGAATCAAACTGCCAAAGTCACGTGGTTTCAGTAAACGACGCTTCGTTACGCGATAACTGTTTGGCCCAGCGGCAAACCGTTTTATTCTTTTTATTATTATTTATTATTTTTTATTTTGCCATTTAGCAGACGCTTTTATCCAAAGCGACTTACAAATGAGGACAATAAAAGCAGTCAAAACTAACAAAAGAGCAACAATATATAAGTGCAAATGACAATATATATATATTATACACACACACACACAAAGAAAAACAAGTAGATAGAATAGAAAAAATAGAAAGCTAGTGTTTTTTTTGTTTGTTTTTTAATAATAAAAAAAAAATTATATGGTTTTTACCTGATCTCGGATCAGTTTCATCAATTTGCAGACATTTTTACGAGACATTTGTGTAATTAAAAGGATGAGAAGTAGTTAATAGTCTCTTACTGGCCCCTACAAGCTCTCCAAAAAAAAAAAACAAGCCTTGCAAATTAATATAAAATATTTTAAAAACCACATGTTATACAGACACTTCATATTTAATGGTATTTTATGATTTTTATTGCATTTAATATATTATATTTTAATAAAACATCTGCAGTGGGTTTTTAAAAAGCTGTTTTTAATCAATTTTTTAGCCTAAAGTTTTTGTTGCATTTACACACTTTTGGCCAGCAGGCATCACCAGCGTGTGGTGTCTCGAGCGCTTCGAATCAGTGAATCATTTTGCAAAGCAATTGGTTCAATTGATTCGAAGCTTTGAAAAGATTAGTTTCTCCCGTCACTAGTTTAGTTTATTACAGTGAATACAATTTCCCAAAAACACATATATATATATATATTATATACTGTATTATTGTATATTATATTATTATACACTATAACAAAATTCTTCTAAGTTTTTCATCTAATTATATAATAATTAATTGCATATTATCTAATTATATTTATTTTTTTATTCTAATTATTGAAAACGTTTAATCAGTCAACACATATCTTGTTATTATACTATATTATATTTATTGTATGTCCAAATAATCTGAGTTGAATCAAACTTGGCTGCAAGGAAGTGGAAGGGTTGCTTGTTCTTATTCAACATAAGGGTTTGAGTTAGTTTAGAGGGGAAAAATGCAAAATGTGAAAACCACAACAACAACAAAAGATTAGACGAAATAAACACATACATTTTGAATAATAAATTTTAAATAAATAAACAATAAGATATAATTAAAATAAAGAAATTAATTAATAATAAAAATATTTAAAGATGAATAAATAATAAAAAATAGATTATACAGTATAATGAGTAGGAAAAAAAGTAATAAATGTAACAGATACAAAAACATTTTCCAAATATGATTTTACACATATTTATAAAATAATTTTTCACCCTTAAATTGGGTCTTTACACACTAGAATATATAGACGCTGTCTTAGTATTTGGGGAGCCTGTGGCATCTAAAAGACTGAAAACCCCTTGCTTAACACATTTGATCCCTTAACCATGATTAGTATTATCAGTCCTGTTGTTTTTAGCCTCTGAGTCTGAACATCTCAGTATAGAGCAAGGATATTTTTATCTTAAAGCAGCACTGTGTAACTTTTTCTGTGCTCAAAATTTGCAAAATGTATATAATGAGCGAGTACATCATGAATTCATCTTCCAAACCGCGTTTTTGTCTCATTCCGAATCACTACGGTACACTTATAATAAGTACTTATATTTGGGACTATTGTAGACTGGTCGCTGCGGAGTAACACATACCTGCGTGAATCGTCATAGACATAAACTTAGAGAAGTAGTTCCGGTTGAAATGTTCTTCCGCGGGATGTGTGCAGTTCTGTTTATTAACCGCTAGAGCGCCAAAAGTTACATAGTGCTGCTTTAAAGCTTACAGTCTATGCTTTAAAGGCACTAAAGCCCTTTAATTGTCTGTCTCCTCAAGGCCCTATATAGTGACAGCTCAACGTTGCCCTCTATTGATATTAAACAGAACATGGGAGGAAAAAACAAGAAAGTAATGAAATTATTTAAAATGAACTCCTGTTCACTGAAGTTTGATTTTTTTTTTTTTTGAAAAATAACTAATATGACTGATTTCAATATAAAATATATAACATATGTGACCCTGGAGCACAAAATTAGTCATAAGTAGCACAGGTATATTTGTAGTAATAGCCAACAATAACATTGTATGATTGTATGGGTCAAAATTATCGATTTTTCTTTTATGCCAGAAATCATTAGGATATTAAGTAAAGATCATGTTCCATGAAGATATTTTGTAAATTTCTTACCGTAAATATATCAAAACTTAATTTTTGATTAGTAATATGCATTGCTAAGCACTTCATTTGGACAGCTTTAAAGGGGATTTTCTCAATATTTAGTTTTTTTTTTTTTGCACACTCAGATTCCAGATTTTCAAATAGTTGTATCTCAGCCAAAATATTGTCATATCTTAACAAACCATACATGGTGTATAAATAAAAAAAATTCACCCTTATTATTTTTACGTTTTACTTTTTTTTTACGGTTTTGTGCTCCAGGCTCACATATATTACTTAATGTATTGATATATTAACTTATATTATATAATATATCATACATAAAATATATTTCCTAAAACCCAGTAAAACAGTAAATAACCCACCCGTAAAACGATCCCTAAAATGAGATATTTCTGCTGATGCCGAGGTGAACCGTGACGTCATCAGCGCGCGCCGCTGGGCTTCAGTCTGCTGGCCTCCGGAATGGGCAGATATCACCAGCCCACATTTAACCATTGATTTATTGCGCGAACTCCACCGAGAGTCTGTATTTTTGCACGTCGTCTACACGATGCTATGCGGAGGTGAGTGTTTTCGTCGCGGGCCGGTTGGAGAAGCGGCTGTTAGAGTCTGTGGGAAGAGCGATTAGCCCGTTAGCGGCGGTCCAGTGTAAATCCCAGCCTCTTGTTTACTCCTGCTTTACTTTCAAACACGCTTTAACTGGCAAAATTAGGTTTAACGGACTGAAACGAACGCACAAAACTTATTTCTACAAGCGAATGGTTATGTTTCCCGGGTGAGATGTCTGGCTAGTGAGGTTACAGGCTTTAATAGCAGCTGGCTAACGCTCGAGTCTTCATGAAAACATTACTAACGTTAGTGTCTCTGCTTGTGCCACGATTCACTTCAGCGCGATGTCATTACACCCAAAACACGAAAAATGTGCTTTATTGGGTTTTTAAACATGTCTCATTAGTGCTTTTTAATATTTTTCGCTTTTCTGTGTCAGGGTGAGGGCGAAGTTTCCGTTTCATAGAAACTTTTCATTTTTGCGGGTAATTCAGTGACTTTTGTTTGATTTGTGAAATTGGCTACTAAAACGATATATTACTATATTTATAAATTAGGAAATCAACTTCTATACACTTGACACGTAGTGTCAAATCACGACACGAGGCATTTGCACCTGAAATGTGCAATTTTCAAAAAATTTCAGTTTTGTGGGGCATTTTGTTACCTTTTATGGGAGAATATTTTGTCTAATCATATCAAAACAAAGTCTGCCGTGTGTTTATATCAGATACTTTAAATCAAAGCTGCACTAAACCCATAACTAGATATGCTTAGATTGAAATATATCACATTTTAGACATGCTTAGATTGAAATATATCACATTTTAGACACGCTTAGATTGAAATATACCACATTTTAGACGTGCTTAGATTGAAATATACCACATTTTAGACGTGCTTAGATTGAAATATACCACATTTTAGACGTGCTTAGATTGAAATATACCACATTTTAGACGTGCTTAGATTGAAATATTACCACATTTTAGGTATGCTTAGATTGAAATATACCACATTTTAGGTATGCTTAGATTGAAATATACCACATTTTAGGTATGCTTAGATTGAAATATACCACATTTTAGGTATGTTTAGATTGAAATATACCAAATTTTAAACAACACACAAAAATGTCAAATGAGCTATTTTTAATATGTAGGCCATTGTGGCTCTCAGTTTTGGTTATTTTCTGATCTGGCAAACATGTGGACCCCAGTGTATGAGAATGAGTGTCTGTTTCTTTAAGAGGACATGGACAGAAACGGCGCAGGCTTTTTCTATTCTGCACTTGAATGTGCATTTTCTTTCTTTTTATTGAATTTACTGTGTATAAATCACAGAAGCATCACGGGCACAATACAGTTAGCCTGGAAGAAATGTATTTTGAGTGCTTTATCTTTTAGGCCTAATTCTATTAACTGTTATGGCTGTTGCTGTGCTTGGTTTTTATTGTATTCCCCCCCTGTGAGATACAAGGTTAAATAATATTATTTTATATAAAATGGTTGTACTTGTAGTATATTATAGCTGATTTATTTTTTGGGGTAACATTAGTGATTAAAATACAATTAAGTAAAATATGGTGAATTTTACATTTTGAGTGATTATCTGAAAACAGAAGTTTGTAGAAGTTGTAGTTTATTTATCTTGTTTTCTTGTTTGTGTTGATATATTTAGGCCAAACTGGAAGGCATGTTTGTGGATTTCCGCGGTAGTTTCCAATGGGTTTTTAGAAAAGTGACTTGATTTGATGAGTAAAAAAGGTCTGTGGTTAACGTTACTCAGACTTCCACATTTTGCTCTATAATATAAATGACACAGTCATACCACAAAAAATGTTGTCAATATGTTTTTCAACGGAAAAGTTTGACCAGCTTCGTAATGTTGTGACGTTAAAGTTTATGTGCCATTTTTGTAAGTTTGTTTTGTTTTTTAAATTGCTATTTAAATTTTTTCTTTCAGTTTTAGTAGTTTTAATACTTCATCGTAAACTTATCTTGTTGTCAAAGCAGCATTTCTAATTTTCAGTTTTATTTTATTTTTTTAATGTAATGTTTATTTTTAATTTGCAAGCTAAATAGCAAAATTGGGTTATAAGTGTATATTGTCCAAATAATCTGAATTGAATCGAACTCTAATAAATCTAAAGGTTTGAGTCAATGCTGATTGTTGTTATCTAACACAGAGGTTTTCAAGCTAAAAATTAAACGGCGATATCTGGGTGCAGGTAACAAGGAGAAAGATTAGGCTACACAGTGTTCATTATTCACATATACTACTGACATTGCAATACAAAGCTGGTTGAAAATTGACAGACTTGTCCTTTAAAAATGTGAAATGAACTAAATTGCTATATTATACATATTTTTGTATATTGTTACAATAATGCTACTAATATGGTACTTTTTTTACTCTATGTACTCAAAATTAACGAAAAATATTTGAAATGTAAATAGGGCTGCACGATAAATCGCATGCGATATTTAATGCGCATCTTGTCAGTAAAGCCGGTTCTGTAATCAGCAGTAAATCTCCATCACCTGCGTGTTTTCACATGGAGCAGCCCTAAATTAGAAAATGTGTGATATCTGTGTGACAGGGGCAAGGCTTTAATACTTTTATTAAAGTGCCCTTTAATACTGTGAAATGTAATCTAAATTGCTATATAACTTATTTGAAAATGTGTCCTTTCGTACATTACTTCAAAATTGCTTTAATAAATATGCCACATATTTTGCACAATATTTACTAAAAATTTATTTTAAAAATGTGAAATATACAGAAAAAGTACAATATCTATGTGACAAGGCTGTCAGCCAATGCAACAATCTCAAAACCTGCTGTTTTATTGGCCTGGCCAATATGTTCAGCACGAGCCTATACATCATTCGTTTAAACATATGGTAACACTTCAGTTTAGGTACCAATTCTTACTATGAACTAGTTTTTTATTAGCATGCCTATTATTAACATATTGGCTGTTTATTAGTACTTATAAAGCACATATTCTGCATGACCATATTCTACATCCCTACGCCTACCCAATACCTAAACTTAACAACTACCTTGCTAACTATTAATAAGCAGCAAATTATGAGTTTGAGGCAAAAGTTGTAGTTAATGGCGAGAATTGGACCTTAAAATAAAGTGTGACCAAGCATATTTAGTTTATACATGATTTCTTTATGCATTCAGGTAAGGTGATGGAAGAGGCCAGCGGGAGAGTTTCAGAGCTGATTCCAGTGGTGCTATTTCCGCGGCTGCCAGGCTTTGTCCCATCCTCTGTTCAGTAACAGCGCCCATTCTCATCCCGAATCACCATGAAACCAGTCCACGAGCGCAACCAGGAGTGCCTCCCTCCCAAGAAGCGGGACCTCCCTGTTAACAACAACAACACCTCTACCTACAACAATAACAGCAGTAGCATCAGCGGCAGCATCGGGAGTGCAGGAGGAGGAGGTGAGGATGCCCCATCTTCACAAAGCTCTGGAGTGAGTGGAGAAGGTAGTGGCGAATGGGTGCGAGCCCAGCCGAGCGTGCATTATGGGGTGGAGGGTGCCGAGGGTCTCGTTGGGCTTCCTGTGGATCAGTATAGCATGCTTTATAAAGTAGCTCTGCCCGCTGGCACCTACTCACCCACCAGTCTGCACCCCATTCTTAGCCACATTTCTCCTGCCTACACCGTTCCCGCCCAGGTGTTACAGCACACGAGCGTTCCCTACCCTCCGCTCTGCTACGCCCAGATCCCTCACTCCTCGTTGCAGTTTGTTAGCTCTCCCTACGGGGCTGCGGTTCCCTACGCCGTGCCTCCGGGATTCGTTCCCGGCCCTTTGATACCACCTCAGTCCTCTATTTCCCAGCCGCACTCCGTTTCCCACCTGGTTCCGTATCCATCAGTCATTCAGGAAGGAGTTGGCTCTCCGCAGCAGCAGATCTCGACCCATGCATACACCAAAATGGGAGTTCCTCTGGTGCTCCCTTCTGAGCAAACGGCGACACAAGCGCCGCTCGGGACTGTAGGGATGCTGCCTGCCGGGGAGCTCAGCCCGAGAGCTGTGTACTATCACCCCACCGTTAGGGGCGTCCAACCGCAAAGAGACCTGCACAGCAGCTCCATGGAGCAGGAGAGAGAGGTGAATGGAGGGGACAGAGAGCACGGAGGCAGGGAGAGCCATCAAGATGCAGTTTATTCGGCCAGAAGCGCACAGCTGCTTCAGGCCACTGCGCCTGAGCCCCAGCAAGACAAGAGCTTGAAAAGCCGCAGGCTGGAGGGCAGAATGTCGCCAGGACAAAGCAGCACACCGGACATTGATCTCGAGGTGAGGGAAGGATGGTTTATTATCATAGGCTCACTCAGGGTTTGCTAAAAAAGTGCCTAAATAACTATTTGAAAAGGGGAAGTGATTTCAGAGGAAGAGCAAGTTATTACAGTAACACCAGGAAAGTGCTTTAAGTAAATAGGGTGATGTTTTGATTTCATGTTGACTTAATTTGCCACATCGCATGACTTTTGAGTGAACATTAGAAAAGCTGAAAAGTGTTTAAAAATGATGGGGAAACTTGAATTCAGCACTTAAAACAGTAGTGAAAATGTTGATCTGGCAGTTTTTCTGATGTTATTCATTTTGCATCACAAATTTTTGTCTAATCCATGTATCGAAATTAAATCTTTGTCTGATCCATATATAAATGAGGAGAGCCCAATTAAACGAATAACAAAACGTTTAAAATTTAAATTGCTGTTTTTAAATGATGAATTATTTTAGAATTAATGTGTTTGCTGGTTACCATGAAAAATCTTATAATGTTGTTTATCTTCTTGTTTAAATCAGATTTTCTGGATTTTGGATCTGACTGTGCCAGTGTTATTTTAGCATTATTATAAACTATTATATTTCTTTGAAATATTTTGAATTAGAATTTGAATTAATTGAACTTTATTTTTATATTAAATTTTAGCTCAAGTAGGCCTAATTTATTTTATTTGCTTTTGTCATTTTTATTAGTTTGTCTTTTTAATACTTCTATTTAGTGTTACGTTATTTTTAGTTCAGTTTTATTTAATTTGAGCTCTCCATCTTAAACTTGATTTCAAGGCAACATTTCTAATTTTTGTTTGTGTTTTATGGTTTATTTTTTTTCCTAAAATTTATATTTTACGTTATTTAAATTACTGACATTTTAGTTAATAGTAACAACACTGCACTGGATCTGGATCATATATTATTAATGTGAATGTCTACTACTTCATCACTACTTAATGCATTTTCAGAATTTTGCCTTTTTTGAGGCAATTCTTGTGAGTCAGCACCAGTTACACCACTTCCTTCCTTTATTAGCTGTTCTTTGGGTGTGTTAAGGATTGAGTAACTCAGGTTACTACTTCTTAGAAACAACAGAGATTGTTTTTTGATTTATATCAAAATTGAGTCCAGTCACTTTCCAGCTGGTGCTGCTTTCCAAAAAGCAATTCCCATCCTAATTCTAAAATAAAATGACACTTTAAATGTGGTTCCTTTTCAGGTCCAGCAGGTGGTCGGACGATTTGCCTCTCCTGTCCATGGCACGAGTCACAAGGAAGCAGCGCATGTCCCTCTGAACCTGTCTCAAAGCTCTCAGAGGGGTCGAGAGACTCAGGGCGAAGTCAGAACACCTTATGCATCAAATCCAGCTGAATCTAGAGCACATCAGCAGCAGATTGTTCAACAAAGCCATGCCGTTATCCTGGCCAATGGGCAGCCTGTTCTTGTGCCTCTCGACTACCATCACCACCAACAGCAGCAGCAGCATTTCCAACCCAACGATGTGGCCTCGGCAGCAATCGCTGCTTCTCCTGCTGCATATACTAAAGCCATGGATGCAGGAGCATGTCTCCCAGAGCGGGCGGTGGTGGAGCTGCCTCCCCAACAGGGGCAACAGCCCTCCCAGCAGCCTCCTGGTACTTTCCCACAGGCTCCTCTGCTGTCACCCTCCGGCCCGTCGCACTTCATGAAGGGCGCCATCATCCAGTTGGCTACTGGAGAGCTCAAGCGCGTAGAAGATCTGCAGACTCAGGACTTCGTGCGGAGCGCAGAAGTGAGCGGCGGGCTGAAGATCGACTCAAGCATGGTAGTGGACATCCACGCTAGTCAACAGCGGCCCGGTCTAGTGGCGCTGCATTTCAACGTGGGGGAGCAGCAGAGCAAAGTGACTATAGATGTTCCCCCCGAACACCCGTTTTTCGTTTTTGGCCAGGGCTGGTCGTCTTGTAGCCCTGAGCGGACTGCCCAACTGTACGGTCTCACCTGCCAACATCTGCAAGTGGGCGATGTCTGCGTGTCCGTGACACTGCAGCAGCAAGCTGCATCGCAGCAGAAACCGCCCCAGCAAGTTCAGGCCCGGACTCCCACCAAAGTCAACTCCACGTCAGGAGCCCCACCTCAGCCCATGGGCCCCCCTGCGCCCCAGCACACCCCTCGGCCACAAAGCCAATTAAAAATGGAGCGCATCCACCGAGAGAGGGACCGGGACAAGGAGGAGCCCATGCAGGTATTGGGTTCGAGACATGTCGACGTGCCCCCAAGACCGAACAGGACTTCAGCAGAGCACACTCGGAGCCAGAGCAACTACTATTTGCACACTGAAGGTCATGCTCCACTGGGAACCGGAGCGGGAGCCTCTTCCGTAGGGGCGTCCCTGAGGCGCTGGTCTGCCTCTGGCTTCCAAAGATACAGCATCAAGAACGAGGATGGAGGGAGTTTAGCATCAGCTGCCACCTCTGGCTCCTCTCGGCTGTCGTTTATCCCTCAGGAGGTCAAGCTTTCCATTGAGGGGCGCTCAAATGCCGGGAAGTAGCAGACAAAAGAGATTGTCCATGGGAGCGAAGTGTCAGTCGGGCGAACGGATGCGAAAGAGGGAGAGTGGTCGGAGGGAGAGAGAATGTAGCCTCAGAATGTTTGAGATTTTGCACATATTGGAAGATTCCCCCTGCCGCCCCCTTCTTCGGTTCTGGTCTCGAGCAGAGGACTTTTGTGTCAGGTCATAGTCAGCGTTCGCAATGATCTGCATGGGCAGCTTTATCTGGTTAATCACATACCAAAGCCTGCGTCGTCTGCGTGTTCCTGTGGGTGAACTATCATGTTTGGCAGTGATCACTTGCGCAAAGATATCTTGCAGTTCCTCGAGTAGATGTTTATTTCAGAAAGGCCAGGGATAAGAATGGGATACAGCCATAGAGTCTTGACAAACCTTTACAATAAGAATAAACATATATTTTAAAGAAGGACAAAAGAGGATAGATTGCTCAACTAATTTTTTCCCCTAAAAGACAGGCCTCTTTCTCTCTAAACATTGACTGTTTCCCTTGTTGCGCCGCCAGGCTTTTGTTGGCTAAGACCTTAAAACTTGGACAGTTTTTAATGCGTGTCTCTCTAGAGGTGTGCTTGTCCTCACTTTCCTACACTCTCCTCCTCTCCCTGCCTCTTCTCAGGGTGCTTCTGCTGAGGAATCCTTTCTAGTCTGGAGTTTGAGAACAGTTGCCCAGCGCCGTCACATCAATCAATTGATCCAACAATCTTTCTGCAATCAGGAACTATTTCCAGATGAAGTCTAGCACGCATCTTAACAGTTGCATTAACAACTCCTCAGAGGTTTTTAGTTTTGATTCAGCAGTGGTTCTGAATCTGCATTCCAGTTTCAATGTGATCTCTCCTCCTCGACCCATTGGAGTTATCATTTCCCAGTAAGGCCGGCCTAGGAAAACCACCTCTAAATAGTACCTCATGGTTGGAAGCATCCTTCAGTCTGATTATTAACTATTTATATTTAATCTTACATTGTTGTGCCCTTTTCCTGGAGACAACATGTGGTGTCAGCCAAAATCAGCCCTGCTTGCGAAGCTGAGACCAAATGCAGAACAGGTTCTAGCTGTTTGCGAACGGCCTGTTCCTGTGGAAACGGATTATTGCTCTGAAGCATGCAGGCTTAAATGAAGTCGTCCCGTGGAAGCGTTTAGCACACACAAGTGTAGAGTCACTGCTGTTGGGTGTGAACTGACCCTGCTCAGTTATCAAAATCAAAGCAATAGTTGTCAGAACACATTTTTCTTGTTTGTTTTTTTTAATCCCGTACAAGACAGATTACTCCTTGTATTTCAATTTTTCTATGTGCAACAGTTGCAGTCTGTATGTAGAAACGTTTTTTAACCTTATCCTACGCTTCTCTTGATTTTCTAAGATGATGCCGTTTTACTTTGTGATAATCCTCATTCTAACAGTTACTACAGGAGTTAATTTAAAGCATGCAATTACCCTTAAAACAACACCTCTTTCATTTAGGTAGGTTTTCTTTCTGACTTCAGTGATGACTAATATGAAGGCACACCTCGAAATGGGGCTTTTCTAAAACACCCACTGATTAGGATGTTTAGAATCAGCTCTTGTACTTTATAGAGAGATCTTAGCCCCTTACATTGTGTCCTAACCAGGTATAACACAATAAGACAAGCGATAAAAGTCATGCTTGAGTTGCAATGTGTCGCGTCTGCAAAAAGCACTAAGCAACAGGACGCTTAGTCTTTCACATTTGTTGGTTTTTATTTTTGTAGTATTGTGCTCGGTAGCTCCACCCACTGTTAAAACCTCAATGGTCCAAATTCGTTCCATAGGTTTTGACAGGCTGTGATTTTGTCGCAGGCATGTTTGGATGGACAAATTCACTGGAAACTTGTCACATCATACCTGGTTAGGACCAGTGTTGAACTGAAAACTTTGAAAACTGAAACGAAACAGCTCTTCTCTGGAAAGAGCCTCATTAATATACACTTTCTAATCTGTGCTGAGGTTTCTTCTTTGGTTTTTGTAATTGGTGAACTCTTGTACAGTATTGCGTTCTGTCTCTCTTCTTGGCAATATTACCCACGAGTGATTTTTAAAACTTGTACTGCAGGTCTTGTATTGCACAAATAAGTTCAATTGATTCACGCTGACTCTTTAATGGGAATCAGATATGTGTTTTATTGTTTTTTTTATTTTAATAATGAAGGGAAAATGTTTGTGTTGTTTTGAAGTATTCAGTTTTGTTGGTGGTTTTTGGCTCATGAGAAACTGACAAGCAAGGTTGACACTGTTTACAGATTAGCCAAGAGAAAATGCTGCAGTTTCACTTTTCATAGTTACTGAACATTTTCAGATGGATGAAATCATGACTTAAGTGCAATTAGACCAAATATTATAAACATTAGGAAGCTCATGTTTTATTTCAAAACAGCATTCCAGAAAGAACCTGACATTCCCACTTTCTTTCTTTTTTTTTTTTTTATAGTTTCTCTATTTCCCTCTCAATATTTTGATGCCACTTACATATTTGTCGGATGCATATTTTTATTTCCATTTCGACCCAAGTTCTTTCATGAGACCTTTGATATTTCTCTGCGTTGTTGGCTCTTGGCATTGCTGGGCTGTCTGTGTTTGGACCAGGATTTAATAGAACTCTTTTGGCCTCTTACAATCACTCAAGGCTTTAAGAGAAGATTTTTTTTGTTCTTTTAGGTAAATAATATATTTTTTTATATAAATGTAGCGCTAGCATTGAACCAGTTAGATTTCGACTTCCTCCAAACTGCATCGACCTCAACGATACCACATGTCTGTGAAGTTCTTAGACCTCTAATGTTAAAGAAAAGAAGTTCGGAAGGGGTATAAACAAGGGTCGTCACTTGAATTCACAGGACTTGTGACAAATTATGAGGGTGCTTCCCCGTTGATGACGACCCTGGTATAAACCCACCTGGTTTTTCAGCATTACCAACAAGTCTGATTTAAACTAAATGAATATGTGGCAATGTGTGTATCGAGTATAACAGTATTTGGTTTTGATCACCTTAAATTGGTTCAAATCCATTTGTTGTTTCCATTTATGAAGCATTTCACAAGCATCATCTGTTAGTATTTTGTTTGAAGACATCCTGTTCCTTCTTAAAAGGAGTCCCACTTTCATGCTATTTATAATCTGGTCTCAAATCTAGTTTGTTATTTCTTCCTTCCTCTGTCCCCTTTGTCCCAGAACGTTATGGTGGCACTTTGGACCCCTTTAAGTTCACAGAGGACGTTTTGTTGTAGTTCACATTCAACCTGGCGTGAACTGTCTAAAATGGCCACAATTGTCACCTAAAGCCTTGTAGACAAATTGAATATCTTTCCAACCAGGAAAAACTGCTTAAACTGGCCTGATCTGGTCTTCTGGGCTCAAGCCAGTTGGTCTGCCAACTTGAGAGGCCAGCTTCAGCTGGCTTAAGTTATTACATTGTTCCTTCACAGACAGGGAAAATGATTTGTATAAAGGCTTTGTTATTCAAAATTCAGACCTGCTCCATTATTTTAAGTATTAGAATTGAATTGAAGCAATACTTGACCCGAAATAGCAGAACGATACAGCTTTAGAATGAGCTATGCAGTAGAGACTCAGTCAGCACCCTAATGCAGTTTCAATACTCGGATCTCACCAGAAGTCAGCTGCACGTCCAATATCGCTGCACATTCTGTGTTTTGTCCTATCCTCACAAACCATACATCAATGGAAAGCTTATTTATTCAGAAATGTCGAAAAATTGACCCTTATGACTGGTTTTGTGGTCCAGGGTCACATTTATTTTTGAAGACCAACCTGAAAGTTCATCACCTTGGTTCCCTCAACAAAAACCCAATAAGATTATTCCATTGGATTTTGGATTATTGCAGAAAATATGCTCTGTGACCAAAAAAAGTTTATGAATCTTACATGTTTTGTTCATCACAAGCTTCACAAATGAACACAACTTTAATGAATTTTGAAGCCTAAATCCAATTGCCAGAAGTATAAAGCTAAACGTAGGCTATAAGCGGACTACAGTAGTCGCATGACTTCAACATCACCGCCATTAAGTTTCAACATTTTGAAAAAAATTTCCTGGAAAGTTTGAGTTAGAATAGTTTACAAGAGCTCAATTATAAACACATTGAGGCTGTAAAAGCGACTAATGAGTAGATGAGTTTACTTGTTTGGCGTGATGATATTTAATTTCCGAAAAAACCACTGTAGTCCCATTTAGATACTTGTTAACATCTGCCTTTTTCAAGACAAGTAAAAGCTTTAAAAAAAAAAAAAAAAGTTACTGATTTGTGTCTCATAGAATAAAACGTGAACATATCTTGAGCTTGTGTTCACCACAGACCCTTATTTCAGGCATTTAACCAAAAACACATTAAAAAAAACCATTGACTTCAGGACAACGTAACCAGCATTTTTAGGTTTTGGCCTACAGAATTGCGTCATCCCTGCAGCACTTTGTAGTTTGGTTAATGACGGAAGATCAGTTTTGGGGGGAAATGTGTAAAAGTGACTCTCAAGCTGTGATTTTTATCATTCAGGGTTAATTTGATGTTGTATTTTCAATGGTAACAGCACAGAAGGGTTTAGCACAAGCTACATTCCTATAGATAGTACGTGTCTGCATTTCCTTCCCTCTACGGATGTGTGAAAATTAATCAAATCATGTCCTTACCTCACCTTTGCGTAAATGTCAAATACAGCGTCCCTTTTGAAAGCATTTAATCTCCCTTTAATGATTAGGGCATCTGCATACTAGATAAACACAGGGTTTCATGGTTCGAAAGCATTTTGAATGTGGAAAGAGTCGGATAAGTTGAAATAAAGTGGGAATTTATTTTCCAAAAAGCACAACCAGACCAGCCTGCAAACGAGTGTATTGCAGTTCAAATTCAGGTTTTGGTCACATGGCAGGTCGCTGCTTTCATTACACTTGAATGATGTGATGATTTTCACGTTCCCCATTGAAATCAAAGGATATTTCTAGAGGATATCTGGTGTGCAGGCGCCCTATTCTTTTTTGCAGTTAGGGAATCCCATGTTGTTCTTCCATAGAGCCTCACCTAACCATGTAACATAGACGTTTGTCACTTTGATGCAATGAAATGTTCGGCACTTATTTCCCCTCACCTGTAGTGTTACGGTAAATGTTTTGCCATCATTTGAAACCACGTAAAACAATCATCCAACATTTGTATGCTTGTACAGATATGAAGATAAGTTTTGTATAGTATTAGCTTGTCAATAACGCCTTAAGATGTGCACCGTTCGTAAACGCTGTGTAGAAGTGACTCCCCGCTCTGCAAGGTCGCACGATTTCACATGGAGACAAAGTCTCTAGTTGTTGTGACCGTGGACTCCTCTGTAAAGGTGGCTCACTGACATCGATTAGTGACGTTGCACTTACTGATTGTAAGACGATATTTTGGGTCTAGCTCATAATGTTTATCTTTGTTGAACACAATGTTAGCTTTACATAACGTTCTAAATCTTTAATGTTGTATTTATATTTTGCTCTTGTTAGTAGGGCAGAAGTAAAGACTGATGCTTTGCACTGTTGACATCCCTGATTCTAGCTCGGAAACATCTTCCTTCACTTCCTAAGTGCTCGTGATGTACGAATCTCACAAAACCCAGTGTTGGGAGGGTTACTTTGGAAATGTAATAGGTTACCGATTACAAGTTACACTATTTAATATGTAATAAGTAGTGTAACGATTTCAATGACTTTATTAATGTAACTTGATTGCTTTTTGATTAGGCTACTACTCTAAATTTCTAAGGATTTTTTCAACTGTTAATCAGTTAATCAACTCTCAGACAGGTTGTAGCCTACCTACAGCTTTCAGTGGCAATGTGGATTGATGTAATTGGCAGACGCTCCAAATTCAAACATGAGAACCAATCGAAAGCATTAGAATGGCATCGCTTTACTAAACGGCCTATAAATGGCAGGAGGCATCGTGCAAATCAAAAACAGGCAAAGCGTCGGCGCCAATAGCCTTGTGGGCAGTGTGCCGACATATAGTGCCCTTGCGCTCCGGGTGTCCCGAGTTCGAGTCCCAGCTCGTGGACCTTTCCCGATCCCGCCCCCCCTCTCTCTCTCTCCTTGCTTCCTGTCACTGCTATACTGTCCTATCAAAATAAAAATGCCAAAAATAAAAATCTAAAAAAACAAACAAACAGGCAAAGCAACAAATTAATATTATGTAACATCCTAGCTTTTACTGATAATATTCAGATGTAGCCCCCTTTGTAGTCGTTAACATTTTCTTAAGTAACTGTAATTGAATTACACTTTTTTTTCCCCCCCCTCAGTAACTAATGGATTACAGTTACTTTTATTTTGTAATCTAAATTACTTAACGCCGTTACATGTACCTAGTTACTCCCCAACACTGACAAAACCATATTTTGCCCCAAAATCAAATGGCCTCGAAATTTTGTATTTGAAATATTACAAAGATATTTCTTTTCTTAATCAGCATTACTATTGAGATAAAATGGATGTTGTATGCTTTAAAAAAGAAAAACAAACAAACTACCAGCTCTTTTTCACTGGACCTTGCTATGAAGATAAGTTTTGTATAGTATTAGCTTGTCAATAACGCCTTAAGATGTGCACCATTCGTAAACGCTGTGTAGAAGTGACTCCCCGCTCTGCAAGGTCGCACGATTTCACATGGAGACAAAGTCTCTAGTTGTTGTGACCGTGGACTCCTCTGTAAAGGTGGCTCACTGACATCGATTAGTGACGTTGCACTTACTGATTGTAAGACGATATTTTGGGTCTAGCTCATAATGTTTATCTTTGTTGAACACAATGTTAGCTTTACATAACGTTCTAAATCTTTAATGTTGTATTTATATTTTGCTCTTGTTAGTAGGGCAGAAGTAAAGACTGATGCTTTGCACTGTTGACATCCCTGATTCTAGCTCGGAAACATCTTCCTTCACTTCCTAAGTGCTCGTGATGTACGAATCTCACAAAACCCAGTGTTGGGAGGGTTACTTTGGAAATGTAATAGGTTACCGATTACAAGTTACACTATTTAATATGTAATAAGTAGTGTAACGATTTCAATGACTTTATTAATGTAACTTGATTGCTTTTTGATTAGGCTACTACTCTAAATTTCTAAGGATTTTTTCAACTGTTAATCAGTTAATCAACTCTCAGACAGGTTGTAGCCTACCTACAGCTTTCAGTGGCAATGTGGATTGATGTAATTGGCAGACGCTCCAAATTCAAACATGAGAACCAATCGAAAGCATTAGAATGGCATCGCTTTACTAAACGGCCTATAAATGGCAGGAGGCATCGTGCAAATCAAAAACAGGCAAAGCGTCGGCGCCAATAGCCTTGTGGGCAGTGTGCCGACATATAGTGCCCTTGCGCTCCGGGTGTCCCGAGTTCGAGTCCCAGCTCGTGGACCTTTCCCGATCCCGCCCCCCCTCTCTCTCTCTCCTTGCTTCCTGTCACTGCTATACTGTCCTATCAAAATAAAAATGCCAAAAATAAAAATCTAAAAAAACAAACAAACAGGCAAAGCAACAAATTAATATTATGTAACATCCTAGCTTTTACTGATAATATTCAGATGTAGCCCCCTTTGTAGTCGTTAACATTTTCTTAAGTAACTGTAATTGAATTACACTTTTTTTTCCCCCCCCTCAGTAACTAATGGATTACAGTTACTTTTATTTTGTAATCTAAATTACTTAACGCCGTTACATGTACCTAGTTACTCCCCAACACTGACAAAACCATATTTTGCCCCAAAATCAAATGGCCTCGAAATTTTGTATTTGAAATATTACAAAGATATTTCTTTTCTTAATCAGCATTACTATTGAGATAAAATGGATGTTGTATGCTTTAAAAAAGAAAAACAAACAAACTACCAGCTCTTTTTCACTGGACCTTGCTTTTTTTTTTTCATTAAAGTGGTTTGAGGAAGTGAGTGAAAGCTAAATTTATTGGAGTCTTTGTTAGAAGATGCTGCGTATAAAGCGAGATTATCTGCAGTTATTGATATAGTTTTGGCTGAGAGTCCTGGGACATATTTTACAGAAGTCCATTTAGTCTCGCTGTTGACTGTCGGTGCGAATGGCGAGTTTTGAGCTGACATGTCATAGTTTGTGAAGTGTGAGAACGACTGAACCCACTTGAGGATAACCGTCTGGGTTATGGATGAATGTGCAGCTCAGTAACATTTCAGTGCATTATAGTGGTATCATTGCTTACAATTGATTTTTTTTTTTTTGAATATCTATATTGTTTTGGAAGGCTTTATGAAGCTAACACATGGCGGTTTGTGTAAATCCCAGACAGAATTCGGTGGCACGGCAGGCCAGAGTCAGTGATGTCGGCTGAAATCAGGTTTCTAACGGTTTCAAGGTTTTAAAGGAGTCATTATATACTCTCGAATTTGACATTGTACTTCTTGGCACTAAGTGACACTGCTTTTTATGTGATGTGTGACCAGTTTTAAAAGAAATGGCATCTTTGTTTAATGCATAAAATCTGCGAAATATATGCAATGATGTATGTGTAATATTCAATCCTCAAGTATAATCCAGGTTGTATAAACTTTGTATAGTACATTTTAATATCGTATGGCCGTACCAATATGTATTAATTCTTCTCAGA